ACTGATTACAGATCACCACGACAGATATAATAATCATAGAAAAGTCTGAAATATTGTGAGAATTACCAAAACATAACAAGGAGCAGTTGCTGCTGGGAAAATGGTGCCAGCAGACTTGCTCAATGTAGGGTAGCCACAAACCTCCAATTTGTAAAAAATGTGGTAACTGTGAAGCAAAATAAAGCCAAGTGCAATAAAATGAGGTGCGCCTGTGTATTTTCTTTTAAAAATAACTTAGAATATTTGGATATATTGGTTATAATTTGGAAAAACTTGAATGGGCTTAATGTGTAAAATTAAGGAGTTGATTAAATAAACTATTGTAAACCCTATAAATGAATTAAGATGCAGCCATTAAAATTAAATAAGAGAATGTTAGGGACATGGAAAAAAAATTTTATTATTGAAAAAGTTGGTTATGAAGCCCCACGCACACACTTCCATTTTGGTGGAAAACAGGGCATATGATTACAACAGCAGTGCAACAAAAGTTAGAAACTGATTTCAAAAGTTAGAAATTAATTTCTGTGCCTACGCCACTCAAATGCCTCACACTAGATAGTCGTCCTAGCAATCCACACTCAAACACAGAGAACCAACGTCTGGAAGCTATACGAGCCTGAGACAGTGGTTTCATTCATTCATGACTTCCTGGCATAGTCATTCATTCATTTAGCAAAGAGTTATCAAAAATTAAGGACCAGCCCTATGGGCACTGAAGCAACAGAAAGAACACCGCCCTTAAGGAGCAGAAAACATGGTTTCGACTACAGGACCTAAGTATAAAGGCGACACTTCAAGGCTGCAAATACACAATGAACAATTCACAATTTTAAAGCTGGAAGGAATCAGGGAACATCACCATCCAGTTCCACCCCCTTTGTTTTCTGGGTGAGGAAGGGAAGCCCAGGAGCGAAGGCGCTTGTCCAAGGTGCCCCGCCAGCTGGGGCAGAGCCAGGGCCACAGTCCGGGTCTCCTGATGTCCCACTGCAACGCCCTTCCTGCCTGACTGCACTGCCCTGGCATTGTGAGCTCATGTCCGTGCGATCAGGGTGCCGTGGGACAGCTATGAACAGACGGGACAAATGAGCAGACTTGTAAAGCTAGTGGTGGCTGAGCTCCCTAGAAACCGTGACACCTGGAAGCAAAATGAAGCCATCAAGATCCTGAGCCAGAAGACAGCATTACTTCCAGGCTTAATGTGCTCCTCTTTTTCCTTTCAGTGGCATTTCAAATGCTGCCTCTGAGACTTCCTCCTCAGTGCACGGAGGACGGGCATGCACGAGGCCTAAATAAATGGGCCAGGAGTAGCCCACGGGCTCTGGGCCCCACCATCCACAGCCCTGAGCAGACCAGAGCATTTTATGCTTTCTGTGCAAAATGATTGACCTTGGAGCACCAGCTCCCGGGGTTTGGACAACATCTGAACAGGCAGGGTGCCCACTGGCCTTGTCCAGGCTCTGGAGGGCACCTAGGAGGGAGCCGCTCAGCAGGCGGGCCTGGGAATGAACCACCGGGTTTCAGAGCTTCTACTTGGCTATCAACATAGCGTCACAGTTCTTTGCTTTGTTGAGGGCACCCACGGGCGGATCAATTTTGACCAGAAGCAATAAAATGATAGACTGCGCTCAAGACTGGAAGCCACAACCAGAGCTTGTCGTTTGCAAATCGATGACCACAGTTTTCACTGTGTCCCGGTGACAACTATTTGGATTTCTGAATGAATGAATACCCCTCCCCTCCAACACACACACACACCCACACACCCAGCATTTGCCATTTCCTTGACAGGCAGCATCAGGTTGTGGATGCAGAAGGCACTTCAGCATCAGAAAGAACTGGGCTCCAATCCTAGGTTCACCACTTTCCAGGTCCAAGGCCTTGGGTGTGGTATTTAACCCTCTTTGTGTCTCCGCTCCCTCATCTATCAAATGAGAAAGAGAACATTTACATCACGGTGTTGTTGCGATGACTCTGTTGATGGAGATGATGCACGTAAGGTATAAAAGGACCTAAATACCTAGAACTTTGAGCCCTAGGACATTGCCTGGCTCAATAAATACTGTTGAGTGAATGACTGTCCACTGTGCACCAAGTTCATTGCCAACAGTAAACGTTAGCGCTTGTTAGCTGTTAGGTATCTGGTACCCTCGTGATCTCCTGACAGCCTCTATTATGCGGCCGCCCACCCCACCTCTGAAGCCACCACTCATCAGATGGCTGGTACTGACCAGGAACTCTTCTGGTTCCCTTCTCCGTCCAAACTCCCTGAGTCTCACAGTGCACAGGACAAAGACGTGAGTCCTGGATGAAGATTCCGTTAGCTCTAGAATGCTTTGCAGGCCTCTGGAATTCATGGGTCCGAACATCTCCGTCCTGAGTTTGGTGACCTTGGACTTCAGGCTGCAGCAATATCAATTAGTATCACTCGCACTGGCTCGGCACTCCTCGTCCACTGACGGGGAGCAGTGCTCTCGATGACAAAGTTTTACAAACGATGTTCATGACACTTGTGATAACAATAACAAAATCTGCTCAGGTTTATTGACTGGGGACTGTGTTCCAGGAATGGTGACTTATATCAGCCCCTTCAATGATTCCACTTACACTATTTCCTTTCAGTTTACTCGGTGATGTAGGCACTGTTACTATTCCCATTTTCCAGCTGAGGAAAATGACACTAAGAAGGGATAAGTAACATGCCCACAGAAGTGATGCCCATCGGCGGGAGGGCCAGAACCGGCACTGGCATCTCTCTCACGAGTGGTCACAGGCTTGGCGCGGCGCTGCCTCCCCTCCGTGAGCATGCGCAGATGAAGACGTGCAGAATAACAGAAGCAGAACGTGTGGAAGGGCTCCACGGTAACACAGCTCATTGTCGCCCAGATCTGAGTACGTCTCGGGTCCTATCATATGTCTCAAAGCACAGCAACCACACCCACACATGCATCCCTTTGCCGATGTTAACTGACTAAGCACCTGCTGCGTGGAGACATCACAGAGTGCGGGGTAAACGCATGGACCTGGAATCAAGCTTCCCAGGTTCCTACCCAGCTCCACCACTTAAGGTTTTGTGACTCGAAGTAAACGAACATCTTTGCGCTTCAGTTTCCTTGCCTTTAAGGTGAGGTTCACCACAGGACCTACTGCAAAGGGCACATAGTGAGTCCCCAGTAAATGGCAACTGTGACAATCTGTGGTTATTGCTGTTGTCCAAAAAGGGTGATACAGTCTCCAGCTACACGGTGAGGACACACCATTCTGCTCTCAGTCGCATGGGAAGAGAGGCAACGACACAGGCAAAGGCCATGCGACAAGCGGCTCTAACAGATGCTTGCACGGGGACCATGACAACACGGAGAGGACACCTACTTCAGACTGGGGTGCGAGGCAGAGGAGGTATCAAGGCAGCGAGCCTACACGGTGGGATAACTGGGCCCCTGAACTCCCCAGAGACACGGGGGACCAGGTGTGTCAGAGCCACTCGAAAAAATCATCTCTTGGGAGATGCCAAGGCGAGTCCCGTGACTGAAACCACTTCATAGGAAGGTCCCTTCAGCCTGTTTCTTCGCTAAGCCCCTTGGGATGGATCTCGAGAAAGACCAGCCTCACACGGAACTTTTGGTCGAGCTCCAGTGTATATACTGAGAATTCCTAGGACAGGCAAGTTGACACAAGGGAACTCTGCCCAGAACGGTCTGTTTACTCAGTGGATGTGAATTACCCTAAACCGTGTGGAGCAGGGGCCTGATGGCTCCGGTCCCATTTACACAGAGGATGTCTGCTCACACCCTGTTTACTCTGGAAACCACAGCGATGGCACAGGCTTTGCAGCCGGGCCGGTCTAGTGTGGTTCTGGCACCCTGGACGTGTGATTTCAGCTCCCCGAGGCTCCACTTTCTCAGGTGGAACTAACACGACCTATTTTGCAGGACTGTTTGGAGGG